GCGGTTTCCGAAATTATATACTACACAAATGTATATAAATTTACTCTGAGATATTTAAGTACTAATGCCCGAAATTGCACTAATGTTACTTTAATTTTAAGCAAGTTTGAAACTCTTTTTAAAGCCAAGAGAGAGGAAGAGTTTTAATCCTAGCTTAAAGTTAAAGTTAGTGCCATTGGGCCTAAAATTCGTTTTAATCGAAAATAGGTTTATTTCTCTTAATTGATTTAAATAATTGAAAGAAACACATTTTGTTTTATATATGTATGGCCGACGATTTTAGTACGTAAATTTTGTATTAATTAATAATTGATAAGTATTACAGGTATTATAAATGTATTTGATATTATAGACAATTAATGAGATAACAGGATCTATTTAAGCCAAATGCAAACAAAAGCGAGAGTCGATACAACTTGCATACTCTTGTTTCTTCCTGATGATTTCCTCTTAACATTAATACTTTTACATTCCATCGACTGCATGAGACATTTTCAATATACAAGTTGTTGGTATGCTGAATACGTTCATAAACAAAAAAAAATAATTTGACGTGATTGTGCAAATGATTTCTAAGAAGATTAACTAGGAAGGTTCAAATCTCATTTCCACAGTCAGATTTGGTGACTCTTATCAAAACGCATCACAATTAACACAAGTCGTGTGCGTGCGCGCGCGCGCGCGCGTGTGTGTGTACAGTATCAAAATTGCGGGACACCCTGTATATGTATACATATACAGAGTGTCCCGCAATTTTTTGCCAAGTCCTTTTGTGTAGATAGAGCAGACTAAACTGATTGTTGAAGTCGAAAAGTCCTCTACCATTTTGTAATTTTCGCAATGGTTAACGAGATATTAACCCTTACCGTACTATGTACAATTTGATGCCTCATCCATACTATCGAGGGTCATTAGAATCTTTTCGTTTTTTCACCTCTTCAAAATAATTCAAAAAATCTAAAAATTCACCAACATACTTTCAACTTTCTAGAATAAATATTGACTCCTTATTTTGGAAAATAATAAAATGTAGTATAATTTATAATTACCGAAAGACTCAGAGAAACTTGCACGAACAGGAATCGATCGGTCACTAGTTACCCATGTTAGTATGGTAAGGGTTAATTACTAAAAATTGCCGAATATTAGTCTTTTTACTCAAATATTATCAACTTTGTAGAAAAACAGCAAAAGACGAAAATTGTTTATTTTCTTCTCATAGAACTTTAAGAATTTTTTGAGAATTTTTTATCAACTTTTTCGTACTGTATTTTCTTATATATATAGGCCCCATTTTTATGTCCCACCCTAAATAACTTTTTTATTCTTGACCTTAGAAAAAAATGTTTCAAACAAAAGTTGTATGGCTGTGAGGAGAACATAAGATGATGTCGTTAGTTTGACCCTTAGAACATATATAAATGGAAGGGACATTGCCTATACTTGCCCATGGCTCGCGCTGATGCAAACATCTGTGCGAGAGAGAAAGGTAGTAAGGGATAAATGTCCTCAATACGCATGCGCAGTATCACGTTTTACACATCTGTGTAATGTACGAATGTGTAAAGCTGGAAACACAATAGACACAGGCAACAGAGAATAACAAGCCGTCCAATCAGAACTTTGGGATATAAGTTCGATATTATATCCCAGAGCTCTGATTGGACGGCTCGTTATTCCCTGTTGCCTGTGCCTATTGCATGTGTCTATCGTGTTTCCAGCTTAAGAAACGCTAAACCAACTGCACAATTCACATAGATGACGGTGCTGCGCATTGCGAACATTTATCCCTTACTACCTTTCTCTCTCGCACAGATGTTGGCTTCACGTTCAGCGCCCTATTCTCCTTCCATTTATATATGTTCTAAGGTTTGACCTTGAACAGTTGCTTGAAGGTCACGTGAAGGTTACTTCAATTTCTTAAATGAAACTCCCTACTTTTTATTGCACATTCTTGTAGATCATCTCGAGAGCTTTCCAAAATACTATAATTAAGTTAATTTTCATTAAGTACTTTTCCACTAAAATCTCTTAAATGTTATTCAGGATCATACCCTGAATAACATTCGTTAGGATCAAGGTCATTGGAGATTGTTTCTCTTATTTTCATTTTTGTACCAAGAATTCATTTTTACGTAAGAGAACCGACCTTCAATGACCTTGATCTTGACAAATGTTATCCAGGACATGATCCTGAACAACATTTAAGAGGTTTTTGTCGTCGGTCGAACACCTTGAGTAATACCACCGACGAGATATTATTAAAGACCGTCAACCCTGGGCAAATTTTCGGCGGTATAAAAAGGGCCCGGAGATAATTCAAGAACGCTGACATTACCGACAATTGATATAAATTTGCTATTATTAACATAAATATTTGGCTCATGCATTATTAAATTCATGATTTTTTAT